CCCAGTCAGGATTGCTCTGCCTCTCAGAGCCTCCAGCCTGTCCTGCTTCCCCTCAAGAGTCACATTTCCTGCTCTCTGCTGTTCCAGGTCTGCCAGAAGCCTCAGACTAAAAACAAGCCCTGCCCCATTTCCTCTGTTTAACTGCTCGAGCTACTTGCAAAATCCCTGGGAGAGGAGGACATGACATGGCCCTGCAACAGCCTCCTTCTAGAATAGGCCTTGACCTGGCTGGCAGTGTCTCTGATGGGCCACAGCATACAGGACCTGCCTTGAGGGATTCCGAGATGATGGGTTCGAGGGAGAACTGCTGGAAAAAGGGGGTGCCAAGCCTCAGAGTAATCATCCGGCTATGTCTCAACCCCAGAGAGGCAATGGGATGTCTTATTTAACGATACAGACTCTGGGGTGAGCTTCTTAATTCTACCACTTACCAGCTGGATGACCTTGGACAGATGAGCTTGGTAGCTCTGTGCCTTGGTTTCCCCATCTGTAACAGGAGGAAAATAACAGGAGGATAAGTTTGGTACAAGGGTTCAGAGGTTTCTGGCACAGAAATGTCCAAGAAATATTAGCTATTATTTTATCAATGCTGAGTATTAATTATTCATGATATGGCATGATTTATTAAATAAATATTTATTGAGAAATATGTTCCAGTCATGAGGTCACTACAGCACCAGATGGAGGTTTCCCAGAGCTGGGATGGCGTTGTGTGCATTCCTGTGTCTTCAAGTTCTGTAGCGTAAATAGTGATTGAACTGAACTGAACTGACACCCTTTCTGTCCTCGAGAAATTTACAGCCTTTCTGGGGTAACAAACACATAGAAAGCTCAAGAACAGTGTGATTAAAGAGCAGTGTGATTAAAGAGTGTGATAGAGCAGTGTGATTAAATAATGCTTGAGGAAGAGACGATTTCCATCCCAGAACCAACTTTAACGGTAAAAAGTAAGAATATTCCTTACTATTCATTTACTAAATCTTCCCGATGGCCTCAAAGTCCAGCAGGCCTGGTTGCTATCCTTCAGACACATCAAGTACATTCCTTACTCAGGGCCTTTGCTGTTTCTGTTCCTTCCACCCAGAATGCTGTTCTCCCAGATAGTCACGTCGTCTGCTCTCTCGATTCATTTCGGTCTGTTCTCAAATGTCACCTCCTCAGAGAGGCCTTCCCTGATTTCCTACCTAAGTAGGAGAACTCTTTCCTCATCAAATTCTTTCCCCTTCACTTTGGCTTCTTTTTTCTATATAGCACACCCAACATTATGTCATGTATTGTTTGTTTCCTACGTGTCTTCCCCACTAGAATCTAAGCTCTGTGAGGTTAGAAGCCTGTTTCCTTGCTCACTGCTATATGGTCTGATATAGTGCTCGATGCATAGAAGATACTCAATAAATATTCACTGAGTGAATTAATTTGTAAACCCTTTACCTCTTATTTAATCCTCACCAAGCTCCATGAGCCCAGTTATTACTATTGCCCCCCTTCCATCTTACAGATGAGAACACTGAGGCCCAGAAAAGCTCCGAGATATATATTCATCAGTTTTTTTGTTTCTATCCCACCTTACTCCAGAAAGGATTTAACGTGACCCAGAGAAGTAGCCCTCTCTGATCTGATTCAGCAAATGACAGGAACGGACCATGAGCCCACATCTTCTGACTCTGTTCTGGTTACTTTTCTCACTCCACCGCTGTCCCGTGTGCCCACCCCCGGTCTGATGCTGACAGAAGTGTTAAGGAGAGAGAGGTGTGTAGGGGCCAGGCACTGCCCACCACGTAGCCTCATAGTTGTGATGAAGAGATCTTAGCAGGACCAAATGGTGACGATCCGAGAGGCTGAATGGAGAGGAAGGCCAGACTGAGGTTGAGGTTCGGGTTCCAGCCCAGGCAAGCCAGGCGGCTGAGTGGCAGCCTCTGACTCCGGCTGTCTCCTGGCAGCTGGGCTGGGCTTGTCCTCACCTGCCTGCCTCTTGCCCTCCCATGCAGCCTCTCTTCCCAGCCATTCTCCTGCCCCAGTCAGCGGAAGGCGCCTACAAGGCCCGTGGTCCTCTTCTGGGGCAGCCCGCTGGCCTCTCGCAGGCCCCCCCCCCCCCCACCATCAGGAAGTGCCGAAAGAGGAAGAGAGTCGCCGGGCAGGATGAGCGTACTGGGGGCTGGCCACAGAACCGGGGGAGGCTGCGATGAGGCCACAGCTCTGGGCCCCGCGGAGGCGCTGGGGACAGAAGAAGGGGAACGGCCGGGGGCACTGAGGCAGATGTGGCGCTACCGTTCCTGGGACGTGCCACAGATCCCAGCAGAGGCCCCCCAGACACAGTAGGTACTCGAGGTGGCCCGGGAATGGGCATAGCAATGTCTGGCCTTCTCTGAGTCCTTTATCTGTGGGGGGGGGGGGGTGGCAAAAGTGAGGTTACCCACCCGTTGTCCAGAGGCTCTGCAGAGGCTCAGCAAAGGGCAAAGGGTTCTTGACAGGGTGAGGGGAGTTCTCATGTTTGAATTGCTGGGAGGCAGTGTGGTGGGAGGCTAAGAGTTGAGCGAGCTAGTAACAGGAGGATCTGGGAAGCACAGCCCCCACAGGAATGTGGCGTTGGGTGTTGTAACGCTGTGTGCAAACTCCGTGGGGTCTTCAGCTGCCTCCGGTCTGACACTGTCAGAGCTTGGGGTCAGAACCATTGGGAAACATCCTCAGAGGGAACCATACACCCCAGGAGGACAGTGTCAGACCCATTTGGGGATTTCACTGCCCTCCTCCTGGCCACCCTGGCACCTGTGCTGGCTGGAGGGCTGGTACCCCCACCTCCCTGGTCACACTTTCTCCGGGCCTACAGGAACCTTGAAGGACACTGGAAGAAGTTTCTGAGCTTCTGGGCACTGGTTGTTTCTCAAAACCACAGGTTTGCCCCGAGCATTGGTTATATGTGGCCGGTTAAGGCTGGAAAATGGGCTGCCAGAACCCCAGAGAAGAGGGTGAAAGTGAAGGTGACACAGGATGTGGCTTTGCAAAAGGAGTGCTAGCAGAAACAGCGGGCAACTGATGTGGGCATCGGGGTGACACAGTTTGGGAGGAAGAGGACCGTGTTCTCCGGATTCCTGGCCTCCCCTTGTCAGCCCTGTGGGGACTGTCAGAAGCTGCCCCAGCCATTGATTCCCAAGCACGTGTGCTGGTTGTGCCACCCCAGTTGACTGCTCTGGTTCCAACTGCTTTCCTCGTCTCTGTAGGGGGACAACCTCTGTTGCCTTCGGGGGTGTGTTTGCAAGGCATATTTCTGGGTGAGTGATGTGTGTGTAAGAGGGATGTGGCAACGTGTAACTGTTGTCCTAGGGGGTATTCGTGAGTAGGAGAAAGATGTGTACGTCCTCTGTGGGTGTGTATGTTGGTGAATGAGAGTGTGTTCCTTGTATGTACGTATGTATGAGTGTGTAAGAAGTGTGCAGGTGACTCCTGTAGTGTCAGAGATCTACAGGATCCACTGGGTATTGTGTTGGGAGAACACTGTGTTAGGAGTGTGTGAAAGGGTTGGAAACAACTGTGAATAGCTGAGGAGAGATTAACTTGTATGAGAAACGTGTATGTTCTTTGCTGGTGTGTGCCAGGGTCACGAAGTGACTTTGGTCCTTGGTATATATATCTGAGTGTGAGGGGCTGGGGTGGGAAGTGTTAGCTTAAGTAATGAGTGAGCCTAAGTGTGTGTGAGAGGCGTGTTTGTTCTGTGTATGGGGAGCACTGTGTGACTTCTGTTCCTGGGGGGTGTGATTTGGGAGAGCCAAGGGGGTAAGTGTGAAGACGGTATGAGTGGTTGTGAGTGGGCACAGGGGGTGCAAGAGAGGTGTCTATACCGGTGTGGCTGTGGGGGGGGGG